ATTCAATTATTATGTGATTCTTCGGTGCTCGGCCCATCTTCCTCTACATGATTGAGCGGCTGTGTGTGTATATATCTGCATGTCGAGCATAAATATATGCATTTATGTATGTGTGCATTTGCATATATTGGCTTTGCCAACTGATCTGTTCATGGAATGCCTTATTAGAATCGAAGAAATTGGTAAATGAAAATAGGCCTAGATATTTATTAAATATAAATTTAGTCTACATTGGCCGATTAAGATGATTTACTGATTGATGTCTGATGTTTCTCACAATGATATGAGCAGGCCTTATTTTCTATTCAAGCATTATCAATTGCCTCAAAACACACGCACTTTTCTAGTTTAAAGTCTGCTTGTGATGTTTTGCAAGATTATGATTTTCCGCTTCAACGACGTCTGTCACGGTGGGGCATACGAATTTTCACCGGGGGAAGATGAGGGTCACACAATCCAACAGTTTCTATTGCAAGGCAATCCTCCTTCATTTTTCTCCACTCTCCTGACAAATAGACATGCTTGCTTCAGCTCTAATCCCATACAACAAGTGTGACGTGGAAGAGGCCCAACTCGCGTTGAAATTCACTTTTCTCTTCTGTTGCCGATCGCGAACTCGTGTCAGCCTGGCGTGGCGATAACATGTCGACATTACACGCTGCACAAGCGCGACCCGGGTTCGAGTCCCATTCGGGATGCGGATGACGCCAGTCCGGTCAGAATGAGAATGCCATTTGTTAAATTAAGGGACTGTGTGAAAATTCCCTACCAACTTTATCACAAACACATTCTACCTTAATCCGTTTTCGGCCAATTCACAAATTACTTTTAGCCAAACCTTTTACTCCGAAGTGAATAGTCCATGACAAACACGCAAAACCCATGGTACAGCTAAGTTCGAATTTATGGTCGCTACTGGCATGGATACTTAGTTACTTGTTGATGTATGCATCGCCCGTTAATAAGACCACCAATTTAGTGAACTATTCAGTGCCGAGAAAATATACCTTTTGTTGTATGATGCTATGGGGCATTGTTTGCCGAAAAGCAAATGGTAAACGAATGTGATGGGAAATAAATGGAGAATGTGGTGAAAGTGGGTGTGTATTTTTATTTTAAAAGAAAAGTTTTTCGGAAAGAAATGAATTCGCCCCACCAAAAAACCGAAGAAGGGCTGGGTTTTGTAGAGTGAAAAATATTGGATTGTTCAATCGTCAGTAAAGAGCAACACATCCAACTTCTGAATTAAGCTTTTCTTCATATGAATATGACCAAAAACGAAGGTTTGATGATTCTCCAAATTGTTTCCCTCAATCGATTCGTCTGTTTTCACATAAAGTTGTATGAAATAAACACACGCAAGTTGACCTCTTTCAATTCCAGCTCAACAGTGCTTGCCTCAATCACCTCAAAGCGTGATACAAATGGAGAATGGTTCCAGTTCGCCCAACCCTTCCACCCAGCAACATATACACACATACACACACGTGCATGCATGGAAATCTATTCGAGACCCTTCATAATTGTACTCACCAGCCGTGTAGCCCGGCGGAGGGAGAAAGGGCTACCATTCAAGGGTTGGATCGAGGATGGACACAAGATTAGAATGTCATAAGGAGGGCCTAACTGCAACGAAAAGCCGGCCCGCATTCAGTTCGGATCCGCCCACCGATTCGAACCATTATTCTATCTTCTTGCTGACCCGGCCCAAAGGCGATGACGGAAATGATGCCGAAAATGGGTGGGACTGAGATCCGTTTGTTGGCAAACCGGCCAGTTTGTTGTTGCCCTCGACAAAGATGCAAACATGAAGCCACGGCAACCGTTTGGCTGGCATTAGAATGATTTGTC